TTCTCCCGCCTAAGCATTCTCCGTCTAAAATCCTAAAATGTAATTTCACTTTCCGCAAAAAAAAATCATCATCCTATAATCCTAAAATCCTAAAATGTAATTTCATTCTATACCTAAAAGCACTACACTGGAGAGAGAAGAGTTTTCCGCCTAAGCATCCTATACCTAAAAGCACTACACTGGAGAGAGAAAATTCTCCCGCCTAAGCATTCTCCGTCTAAAATCCTAAAATGTAATTTCACTTTCCGCAAAAAAAAAAATCATCATCCTATAATCCTAAAATCCTAAAATGTAATTTCATTCTATACCTAAAAGCACTACACTGGAGAGAGAAGAGTTTTCCGCCTAAGCATTCTCCGCCTAAAATCCTAAAATATAATTTCACTTTCCACAAAAAAACATCCTATACCTAAAAGCACTACACTGGAGAGAGAAAATTCTCTCGCCTAAGCATTCTCCGTCTAAAATCCTAAAATGTAATTTCACTTTCCGCAAAAAAAAAAATCATCATCCTATAATCCTAAAATCCTAAAATGTAATTTCATTCTATACCTAAAAGCACTACACTGGAGAGAGAAGAGTTTTCCGCCTAAGCATTCTCCGCATAAAATCCTAAAATATAATTTCACTTTCCACAAAAAAAAAACATATACCTAAAAGCACTACACTGGAGAGAGAAAATTTTCCCGCCTAAGGATTCTCTGTCTATCCTATCCTATACCTAAAAGCACTACACTGGAGAGAGAAAATTATCCCGCTTAAACATTCTTCGTCTAAAATCCTAAAATGTAATTTCACTTTCCACAAAAAAAAATCTTCATCATCATCATCATCATCCTATACCTAAAAGCACTACACTGGAGAGTGAAAATTATCCCGCTTAAGCATTCTCCGTCTAAAATCCTAAAATGTAATTTCACTTTCCACAAAAAAAAATCATCATCATCCTATACCTAAAAGCACTACACTCGAGCGAGAAAATTATCCCGCTTAAGCATTCTCCGTCTAAAATTCTAAAATGTAATTTCACTTTCCAAAAAAAAAAAATTCATCATCATCATCATCATCATCATTATCATATACCTAAAACCACTACACTTGAGAGAGAAAATTCTCCCGCCTAAGCATTCTCCGCCTAAAATCCTAAAATGTAATTTCACTTCCCCCTCCCCCAGAAAAAAGCATCCTATACCTAAAAGCACTACACTGAAGAGAGAAAATTCTCCCGCCTAAGCATTCTCCGCCTAAAATCATAATATGTAATTTCACTTTCCGCAAAAAAAAATCATCATATACATAAAAGCACTATACTAGAGAGAGAAATTCTCCTGCCTAAACATTCTCCGCCTAAAATCCTAAAATACAATTACACTTTCCACAAAAAAAATCATCATCCTAAAATCCTAAAATGTAATTTCATTCTATACCTAAAAGCACTATATTGGAGAGAGAATTTTCCCGCCTAAGCATTCTCCGCCTAAAATTGTTAGGTTTGCAATGACCATTAATAAGAGTCACGGACAATCGTTGAAAAAAGTTGGTATCTTACTTTGACGCTCCATTATTACTCACAAACATTTGTACATGGCGGTGTGGAGAGTAACAAGTTCATGGGATTGGAGTTTCTAATGACGAAGATGGAAAACCAACCAAATCAACATTGAATGTTGTTTACAAAGAAATATGTACTATAGAGTAATTTATAATTTTTGGTATAATGTGGTGGACTTAAATGCACATTTATTTCATCGTGTGATGTTTTACATTTAGTTCTTACCATTTATTCAGAATTTATATTTTGTTTTCAAATAATTCTAACACAGTCATATTTTTTAAATATTTTTAAATATATAACTATATCTAAATTATTATGTGGGTGTCTCACTCCCGTGCAGCGCACGGGTGGAGTAACTAGTAAAGTAAAAACTGCGTGGTTGGGATTTGTGCAGAGGAGAGACAAATAAAAGAAATCACAAAATAATTGATTAAAAGGGAAAGTGGCAAAGTTTTTTGGGACGTCCCAAAAAGGAAAGATGACAAAGTTTTAAGGGACGGAGGGAGTATTACGTATCTTAATTGCTTTAATACAAACATTGAAGCATGTATTCAAACATGATCGAATTTTAATTTCTTTTTTGTATCGCTATTTTATTTTTATTTTGTTATGTTCAAAAAAAAGTATTCAACCCGTGCGATGCATGGAAGAATAGAATTTGCAAATTAAAGAGAAATAGATTAATACGGAATAAGCTTTTGTTATTTAAAGACGCATATTTTGTCATATAATTTGTGGATAAATTCTATATGTGTGAATGATATCAACAATCACGGTGTATAACTATTTATTTTTATTTTAGCAAATAATGAACACTTTTAAATGACAATTTATCATTAAATATTAGAAACATGTCAAACAACGCATCTGATGTCGCCTTTTGGCTTGGATATTACCAAAAAAAGATACTCCCTACGTCCCTTAAAACTTTGTCATCTTTCCTTTTTGGAACGTCCCAAACAACTTTGCCACTTTGCCTTTTAATCAATTATTTTGTGGTTTCTGTTATTTCTCTCTCCTCTGCACAAACCTAAACCACACAATTTTTACTTTATTATTCTTCGTGTCAGTCAACTTTGGAAAAGTTTTAAGGGACGGAGGTAGTTATAGACAAAAAAGTGATCATTTTTTAAAAATTCCAAAAATGTGACTAACAGCACAATTAAACCCTACATTACAAAGTGACACCGGTTCAAAGTGACTCCTCAGCCACAGTGACACCGGTGCAAAGTGACTCCGGTTCAAAGTGACTCTGCTGCCAGAGTGACCGTCACCAGGGGCGGACCCACCCTAGGGCTAGGGGGTGCCCACCCCCCAGTGATTTTTAATATATATATATATATATATATATATATATATATATATATATATATATATATATATATATATATATATATATATATATATATATATTATTAATTTTTATTAACTTCGGCCCCTGCAGCCCGATCCCAATTCCCCTTTCCCTTGTCCAGTCGTCTGCTCGGCCCAAATTCCCGTTCCCCCTTTGGCCCTTTCCCATTCTCGTTCCCCTTTCAGCCTTTCTCAAATCCCGTTCCCCGCTTCCCCCCTTTTGGCCTTTACCGACCCGACGAGTTGGCGACCCCTGCACGCGAAACGGCGAGAGGTGAGACCGAGACGGCGAACTGCGATCTGCGGCACCGCCCACCGCCCACGTGGCCACGCCAGGAACTCCGATTCTCCGAACTCCTAGTCCACGCAGTGCCGAAGGTATGTTTTAATTTTTTTTAATTGTTGATTTGTTGTCTTGTTGATGAATCATGAATGATTTATGCTTCATTGAATCATTGATTCGTATATGTTGTGTGACTTATCACTTATGGTTTAAATGTTGAATACTTGAATAGTTCAAATTTGAAAAATTATACTCATATTATTTCAAATTTCAATTGTAGTTGGTCTAGGTTGTGTTACAAACAATCGCTATGTTACGATATTTTTCGGCAATTCCGCCGAAACCGAAACAGCCTATCATTGGTGGTTCTTCATCGAATAATTTAATTTCTTCATCGGAAAATGTCATTCCTAACAATGAGACTAATATTAAAAAAGCTCGAATAGAGATTGAATTGTCGGATGATGACATTGTTGGTGATCCTGGATTGCGTAAGCCGATTGAGACTTATGATGTTAATATTAGAGATGAGTTGAGGAGACGTTATTTGACAAAAGGTCCTTGCCAACCGCGTGACTTTAAATTTCCACAAAGTGATTTGAATGGGCGCAACAGATCCTTCCAAAAACAGTGGTTTGATGAATTTAATTGGTTGGAGTATAGTGTTGCTAAAGATGCAGCATTTTGCCATTTGTGTTATTTGTTTGGTAGACATCATAAAAATGGAGATGATGCTTTTACTGAAGTTGGGTTTAATAACTGGAGGAAAGCTACGGAAAAATTCCGTGACCACGAAGGAACTCTAGAAAGCATGCATCATTATGCAGAAATTAAATGGTCCGGGTTTCAAAACCAAAAGCAAAATGTGGATTATGTATATTCACAACAAACCATGAAAGATGAGCTTGAGTACCGTGCAAGATTAACAACTATTGTTGATGTAGTTCGATTCCTTTTAGAGGGTGGTTTGGCTTTTCGAGGTCACGATGAATCAGCTACTTGTACGCATTCTGGTAAATTTTATTAGATTATTTCCATTATTTTTTATTATTTATTTCATTATAAAATTCTAATGACTATTGCATGTTTGCATAATTGCATTATTTGTATTTACAGGTAATTTTCTTGAACTCTTGAAATGGGAGTGTAGACGACATCCACATATTGATATGGTAATGAAGTCAAATGCTCCCGGGAATAGTCAACTAATCTCTCCTAAAATTCAAAAGGACGTTATTAATACTTGTGCAACTGAGGTAAGACTAGCTATTATTATTGAGGTTGGTAGCAATTTTTTCTCTTTGTTGATTGATGAGGCTCAAGATAGTTCCATAAAAGAGCAAATGTCTGTGGTTTTAAGGTTTGTTAACAATTGTGGGGAGGTAATTGAGCGATTTTTGGGAGTGGTGCATGTTAGTAACACTTGTGCGCAGACATTGAAAAATGCCATTGATGATTTTTTTGCAAAATATGGTCTTTCGATGTCTAAGGTTCGAGGCCAAGGTTATGATGGGGCTTCCAATATGAGTGGTGCAATTAATGGCTTAAAACAAAAAATTTTGGGGGAAAATAAGCAAGCACATTATGTTCATTGTTTTGCTCATCGCCTTCAATTAGTGATTGTGTCCTCTTTGAAGAGCAATTGAATAGTTGGTAGTTTTTTTGATCATCTCATCATGATTGTAAATGTGATTGGTGCATCATGTAAGAGAAAAGATGATCTTTTACAAAAGCATTATGAGGATCTTGTAGCCCGTATAGAACGTGGTGAGGTTAGCACGGGGAAGGGGGAAAATCAAGAAAAAAGTCTAGCACGACCGAGTGATACTCGTTGGGGTTCCCATTATAAAACAATCATTAGAGTTGTTTTTTTTTGGATGAAATGTAAATATATATTAACACCCAGAAAAATATACATCAAAAAGGTTCTAGATCTCCTAAAACCTCCCTCACCCCTACCTAGTGTAGGGGTTAGGAGAAGTTTTTATTCGATCTAATCTAAGGTCAACACTCAAAAAGGGCCTAAGTATACAATACTAAATGCCCAAATGAAAAGAACCTAGCCAAGAGGAGGTTATAGTGAATTCTCCCCTTAGCCCCAACCAGAAGTCCGATGTGTTGCATAGTGCACACTCAAGTCCAAGGAGGTTATGTCGCGGCTTCGGCATCCACCATCAAAAGTTGATCAGTTCATGTGGGTATAAGTTGTATAGGACCTTATACACCACAAGCTTGATCTTCGCAATAATATTCTCCTCCGTCTTTGATCCCCCATCAAATCGTATCTCATTACGCGCATGCCAAATATAATACACCGCGGCGCAGAATGCTAGGCGGGCTCATTTGCCTTCAGCGTCGATCCTCTATGAGTCTTCATAATCCACTTCACGGCACTTAGCAAGGTGGTCATCTCATGCCTTAATCCCATCCAGTTCCTTATGTGCTGCCACACCCTACAAGTAAAAGGGCGGAGGAAAAAGAGGTGTGGTATTGTCTCCAAACCACCCTTGCACAGGTCACACCTATTCACAATGTGTAGATAACCGAGGCTATCCTGGGTAGGAAGCAGGTTTCTTAAAGCCAACCACACGTTAAAAGAGAGTTTGGGGGGAATGTAGGATTTCCATATGAAACTCATAGGAGTCCTAGCATTACCCTTAACTCTTAGCAAATCATAAATTTTGGCGGAGGTTAATTTTCCATTCGTGGAACGGGAATTAAGGCCAACTATCGTATCATTCAAGTTATTAAAACAGCCCCGAATCTTATCGCGAATGAGACTCAGTCGCTTCATGAGCTGGGAGTCTCGGGTGTGTGGGACAAAATCCCACACGATTTTACCCTTGAGGTATACACCACTCACCCAACGTACCCAGAGCGTGTCTTTCTTTAGATGTACATCCCAAAGGGTGCGAGCGAGGAGGGCATGATTCCATATCTTAGCATTGTGAATGCCAAGGCCCCCTTCCTCTTTAGGGAGGCAAATATCGTCCCAAGCCACCTTTGCGAATTTGCCACCCCGTAAAAAAATACGGCATATCGAAATAATTCTATCAAGAACAGTTTGAGGTACCGGAAACACTTGGAGCCAAAACGACTGGACCCCTTGGATCACAGATCGTATTAACTCAAGTTTACCTGCATAGGAAATCGTCTTGGTGTTCCAAGTGCTTAAGAACTTATTTACCATGTCAAGGAGTGGCGCATATTGGGCCACGGAGACTTTTAAAGGCGCAAGTGGGATACCGAGATATCTCACCGGGAAAACTCCATGATCAAAGTCCACGAGGTCTAAAATACCCTGCAAATCGAAACTATTAACCCCACCGACGAAAATGTTAGATTTGTTATGGTTAACTCTTAGGCCCGATACGTCCCCAAACTCTTTAAGAGCCTCAACCAATATTCTGATGGAGTATTTGTCTCCCCTCGAAAAGAGCATAAGATCATCCGCATAGGCCAAGTGGGTTATACCCAAGGACCCACAAAGCGGGTGATGGTTAAAGCCCGACATTTTAGATTTCCTGGTAAGAAGGCGAGAGAAGTACTCAAGGCATAGAACGAAAAGCAATGGGGACATCGGATCCCCTTGCCTAATGCCACGCTTACCTTTAAAGAAACCAAGCAAAATACCATTCAAAGAAACAGAAAAAGACGTGGTAGTAACACACTCCATTATCCAACCAACAAATAAATCGGGGTAGCCCACACCCCTAAGAACATTGGCAAGGAAATCCCAAGAAATAGTATCATAGGCCTTGCGCAAATCCACCTTAATCATACAACGAGGTGAAATTTGCTTCCTATTGTATCCTCTAACAAGTTCATGGGCGAGGAAAATGTTATCAAACATTAGGCGGCCATCCACAAACGCACCTTGTGCTTTGTTAATCAAACCCGAGAGGGTAGGGCTCAATCTTGCCACAATAATCTTCGTAATGATCTTGTAAAGCACATTAGTACATGAAATAGGTCTATAATCTGAGACCATAGGGGAGTGACTAGTTTTAGGAATTAGAGCTATCACAGTGTATTTTAACTGTTTAAGCATCTTTCCCGAGTTAAAGAACTCTTTGGTCGCCCGAGTCACATCCCATTGTATCATAGGCCTTGCGCAAATCCACCTTAATCATACAACGAGGTGAAATTTGCTTCCTATTGTATCCTCTAACAAGTTCATGGGCGAGGAAAATGTTATCAAACATTAGGCGGCCATCCACAAACGCACCTTGTGCTTTGTTAATCAAACCCGAGAGGGTAGGGCTCAATCTTGCCACAATAATCTTCGTAATGATCTTGTAAAGCACATTAGTACATGAAATAGGTCTATAATCTGAGACCATAGGGGAGTGACTAGTTTTAGGAATTAGAGCTATCACAGTGTATTTTAACTGTTTAAGCATCTTTCCCGAGTTAAAGAACTCTTTGGTCGCCCGAGTCACATCCCCCCCCCCCCCCCCCCACAACATTCCAATTTTTCTTAAAAAACGCCGATGAATAACCGTCCGGCCCCGATGCCTTGTCATCCCCAATATCAAACAAAGCATCTTTAATTTCTTTGTTAGTTATCGGAGATAATAGGCTATCATGAACGCTTGGTTCAATCAAAGGGCCGGTTCCTAGTACCGTTTGGTCAAAGGAAAGGGTTTCCATCTCAGTGCCAAAAAGATCAACAAAAAATTTTACAAATTCATTCCCAACACGATCAATAGTAGTAGTGAGGCTACCATCATCCAGCCTAATGGACGTAATGGTATTCCTGGCCTTGTTCCTGTTGACGATAGCGTGAAAATACCTTGTGCCCTTATCCGCCTCAAGGATATGTGTAGCTTTTGCACGTTGTTGGAAGAAACTACATTCGGCCTCACCTAGGAAAGTGGCTCTTTTTCTCGCCCCAATTACTTGCTCTTTGAGCTCGGCATCATTGGGAGAATCAAGCAACAACCTGTTTAACCTTTTAAAGTCCTCTTTCGCATTTTTTGCCTTCATAGAAATGTGACCAAATTCCACTTTGTTAAGATTCTTAAGCGGCTGTTTTAGCAACTTAAGTTTCTTAGCAATTTGAAATTGAGCCGTGCCTTGAATATTCACATTCCAATTCTGCAAAAGTATGTTAGTGAAAGCACAATGTTGTAACCACATGTTAAAAAATTTGAATGATTTCGACCTGAGATAGGTATTATTGAGTATAGACACCACGGATGTCGTGTGATCAAACTCGACCTCCATTTCAGTGAAATGAGCCTTGCATTCAATCCCCAAATGAGCCCACGTCTCATTTAACAAAACCCGGTCAAGTTTTGCCCAAAGAGGTCCCTTATTCCACATAAAGAATTCTCCCGTGGATGGGGCATCTTGAAGGCTAGCCCGGATTTTAAAATCAAGTAAATCTTTTAAAAGATAGTTCGAGGGTGCGTTAGAACCCAATCTCTCATTAGGAGAGCACACACAATTAAAATCACCCGCTATAAACCAAGGGTCCTTAATTTGGTCCCCAAGTAACGCAAGGTGCTCCCATAGCTCTTTTCGCCTCAAAACTGTATAGAGAGAATAGACAAATGTAGCATGAAAAACAGTTTGTGAAGTGCGGCATAGGCATTGAAAATGCATGTGTTGTTCCCCCATTTCAATCAACGTACAAGATATTAAATTTGGATTCCAAAAAACAAGTATTCGGCCACCTTGAATAAAATCATGGTTAGTTTCAAAAAACCATCCAGGCCATTTATTGGCAATATAGTTAGAAATATTTATTTTTTTCATTTTTGTTTCCAAGAAACAACACAAACTCGCTTGATTAAATTTAATTAAACTCGAAATAGTAGAGTGTTTAGAGGAGTTTTTCAAACCTCTCACATTCCATATGACTGCTTTAATCATCACAATCCTCAGAGTTGGAGGTGTGGCCATCCTCCAATTCCTCCACACTTTCATCCTCCTCTTCCTCTTTCCGCGCCATCATCCTTTTGTGATGCTCCAAGTTTTCTATGCTATTTTCATCAAAAAAAGCAACAACTTTAGGAATAAAGATTGAAGTGTTGAAAGCAAACCATGGTCCTGCAATTTTGACTCCTGGAAGTGAACGTAGGCATTTATGCGTGAAGTTCATCCCGGGACTATCCCAATCGGTCTTCTTGAAATCTGGACCAACTCTACACACTTGATGGCTGAAAGGGATGTTCTCCTTTTTTGCGACGTACACGGTCCTTTATTCATCTTCATGAAAGAACATCATAGTTACAACGTCCTCTTCATCCATCTCATACACACTCAACACCTCCCGTTCTCCCATAGTCTTATTCGGTTTTGGCATAGTAGGCCTCGGCTCAACCTCCTTTGCCGCAGCTTTCGCCTTAGCCTCCTTGGCCGCACGTATTTTTTCCTCTTCCATTTGCCTTTGCTTCTTAACTCGTGCAAATTCAACATTGTGCCTAGCATTAAGATCAAAGAAAACAACTACGTTAGAAATAAAAATTTCTTTATTAAAAGCATACCATCCCTTGGTTCGTTTCACTCCTGGAAGTGCCACCATGCATTCGTCGGTGAAGTTAATGCCCGGCGTATCATCACGAGCCTCCTTAAGCGTATCCAATGCAAGCCTTGCCACAGATACATAGCTCTTTAGTTGGTGACGTTTTTTTGACGAATGCCACATGTGTACCATCTTCTTCAATAATAAAATCCGTGACAATATCATCCGATTGCATTTGGTGCACATTAAGGATTTTTCTTCCTCTCCATACAAATTCCTTGCTCGGTTTCTTCTTTTGGGCAGCGGGTTCCTTTGCTTTAGTGGCAACCGGTGCCTTAGGTTCGGTGGCAGCCGGTATTTTCTTTCTCCTTGGCTCCACTAGTTGAAACGGTGCCTCCTCCGGCTCTTTAAGGACAGCGGCATTCTCCACAATTTGGCCCTCACCATTCGGTTTTAAGCTCTTCTTCGTATCATTTTTTTGTTTTTCTTCCTCCTCCTTCAATTCCGGGTGGAGCACTTTGCAAAGAAAGGGATTGTGTCCAAATCTTTTGCATTCGAAACAATAGTTAGGATATGTCTCATATATCACATATTGTTTCCTTTTTCTCCAGGACGGTTGAATCATTGGGATCTCAAGAACCGGAGGTTTAGTAGAATCAACCTCCACAAGAACTCGTGCAAAGTTAGCCCTAGCTTTGTTGAGCGTGACTTGATCAGCAATGATGGGTACCCCTACCCGTGAGGCCAATTCACTTATCTCCGGCTTGTTCCATAGTGTGACCGAAAGCCCGGGCAGCTTTATCCAAATGGGAACTTTCAAAAATTCATCACCATCCACCTCAAAATCCTCGGATAATACTTTGAGGAAAAGAGCCTTACCATAGGATGAGTAAGGCCCTTCGGAAATGACCTTGGTACGGTCCTCCTCCGTCTTGAATTGAAATATTGTCCATCCTTTATCGTGTGATTTTATTTTGCACTCAAAACCCCAAGTTTTAATGAGGTCAGATACTGCTTTCCTTCCGGGAAATCTGCCCGTGAAAATCCCCACCAAACAGTACCCCCATATGTCAACAATGGAGGGTACTTTCCGATTTGAGAAGTCAACAACATCCCCAATGGGTGGGACGTAATCAAGTTTCATGCCGTGCGAGAGGGAGCGGTTATTTTGGAACAAATTAACTCATCCCTTCTTTCCATCATTCTCTTGATCCCTATCATCCCCATGACTAGCAATGGACTGTGTGTCCTCAGATCCAAGTGTAATAGATATATCCTCCACCAATCCATCCACTTTAGAAGTATTCATGTCAATAGTAGCACTTGAGGCGTCAGTTTCTTTCTCAAAAGAAATCTCCTTTGAAGTTACTTCAAAAGAGGGAGCTGGCTGACTTCTTTGCATTGTAGGATTAATGGTGAGCTTAGGAGCAGTCTTGGGGATATACACCTTAGTAGTGGAGTCCCCTTCCTTTCTCATGTTCTCAATCTCTACCTTCTTGGCATTGATCGTTCGGATTTTTGCATCAAATGCCTCATCCTTAGGCGGAGGAGTGCGAGATTGTTTGTTGTTCCTTGTCATAATGATCAGCACATCCCACCTGCACCTTTAGTACCAACAAACAAAGCCAACACAACAAAACAAACAAGAAGAAACAACCACCTGTAGCAGCAAATCCAATTTAACCAACCCAAACCAACTCAGAAAAATTTGAAAATACTCTCACGAGTTCCCCTCGAAGTTAGGAACAGAACGGTATAATCGGCTAAACCAGTGGACAAGTATGGAGTTCAGAAAAAACTCATAACTAGTCAAAAGTGCGCAGGATTTTACTGTAGCGGGCAGAAAGTTTGAGATTTTTGAAAGTGCTCCAAAAATCTCAAAAAACTCAAGGAGATACCCCTCAATATGCTGAACAACCTGGTATGATTAGTTTAACCAAAAGCCAAGTCTAAAATCCAGGAAAAATGTTTAACTAGTCAAAGGTAGCTCAAAAAATCCAGGAATTTCGGAAGAGCTCCAAAAAATCTGAAATTAGTCCAGAAGATATCCATTAGTATGGAGAACAACCTGCAATGGTTAGTTTCCACAAAAGATAGGTATAAAAGACTGGAAAATTTCGTGACTAGTGTTTAGTGCGCAGGATTTACTGTAGCAATTTCCCAGGAAGATGAACAGTAACACGAGCTACCAAAACTACTCAAAAAAATTCCAGAAAAAAACAAAACACAGTCCAAGAGTAGACGATTACCACAGTTTAAGCACAAAACCCAGAAAGCACGAAAAACCTTTAATTAAAATTAATTAAAGAAACCAGACCTTCATCCAAGCTACAGTGCCCAAGAATTTGGGGGAAATCAAAATACTGATTTGTAGGAGATAAAACCGGTACCAAAAGCTTTGTCCCAGCTAGATGAACTCCAAACAAGCTTCAGATTTCGATATGAACGATGGAAAGTGAAGAAATCTGCAGAAAACCCAGCTGCGTTGAACAGTGCACTTCGTAACGGTTCTTTTGCAACGGTGGTACGGCGACGCCGTGGTGGTCAGAAACCAGTCGTGGGAGGTGTGCCAGAGGGTGGCGACCCCCAAACAACCTTCTTCTTCCCCAACCAGCTGCCACAGAATAGATCGAAGCTGAGTTTCTAAATCGGGTATGAACAGTAACGAACAGCGAACTAAAGCTCCAAGAAATTCGTAGCTTGCTAAAATTCCAAGATTTTCCAAATCCAAGTAGTAGATAAGGAAGCCTGAAGAATTCCGAACAAGCAGCAGGAAGAAAACTCAAAATCGAACGGTGGATTGAAGAGAAAGAGCAGTTGGAAGTGACGAGCAACCTAGATAGTTACGACTCCGGGAGGTGCGAAAAAATCTAGTGAGAAGGCAGAGCGTTTTCTCAACTCGTCCATTACTAGCCTTTTGGTTTGCTTGAAAAACTAATCATTAGAGTTCTTGATACGTGGGATGCCATCATTGAGGTGCTTGAAGTTATATTTGAGGATGGTGTTGATCTCAAAAGTAAGTCCACTTCTTCTAGTTTGATTGAAAAAATGGCATCCTATGATTTTGTGTTCATTGCGCAGTTCATGTTGCAATTATTGGGAAAAGCTAAGGTCTATCAAAGGAATTGCAACAAAAAAATCAAAACATAGGCAATGTTGTGGATCTTGTCAAGACCGTCAAAACCGATTTGGAGAAATATAGGAATGATTATGATTGGGATTTGTTGGTTGAAGAAGTAACTACATTTTGTTCAAAGCATGATATTGATGTACCTAATATGATGGATGTAAAGCCAGGATGAGTGAAAAGGCAGAAGACAATTGATGGTAGTCCGAAAACTTATTATCACTATTTTCATGTTGACATTTTTCTCAAGGTACTTTTAAAAATTTTATTCCTTACTTAATTGTATTTAAATTTATTTATTTTGTTATTGTAATTAATTACGTTTTTTAATATAATGTTAGGTTATTGATCGTCTTATTCAAGAGATGAATAATCGCTTTACCGAGTCAAGTTCAGAGCTACTAATGTGCATAGCATCGTTAAGTCCGAAAGACTCATTCTCCAATTTTGATGTGAAGCGACTACTTCGTCTTGCTAATCTATACCCAGATGATTTTAGTTCAAGAGAAAAATTTGAACTAAATGAACAACTTAGGATGTTCATTACATTTGTCAAATCATCTCCACGATTTTCAAGCTTACAAAGTATTGGAGATTTGGCAAAGACATTGGTTGAAACAGAGTGACACACAACTTATAAGTTAGTGTACCGACTCATCCAATTGACATTGGTTTTACCCGTTACAACCGCCACAGTTGAAAGATCTTTCTCGACGATGAAGTTTATCAAGAATGATTTGCGTAACAAGATTGGAGAAGAATACTTGACAGATTGCTTAGTGTATTATGAGAAAGATGTATTTGTTAAAATTTAAAATGAAGTCATAATGAAAAGATTTCAGAGTATAACACCTCGAAGACAAAGATTGCCGCCTCTCAATGATTGTCCTTCATTTGCCGCGTCAGGTTCTAATCAAAATTAAGGTACTCTTTAAGTAGTTGTTTTATTTAAATTTTATAGTTTTGTTTATTGCTATATATTCATGATGTCTATGATTTTTTTTCTAGACTAGTATATCATTTCTTTGTTAATTGTGCCCCTGCGAGTCACATGTCCTCGTTCCACCACCGACCGTCACAGTGACACTGCCGCCAGCACTGCTCAATTACCGCCGCCGCACCGCCCAATTACCTCTACCAGCCACCGCCTCCGGCAGCCACCAACTCCGGCCAACGACTGCAACCACGACACCCAAGCCCCTACCTCACCCAACCCCCTCCCCTGCATAACCCCAACCCTCTCCCTTGCGTCACCCCAGCCTCTGCCTCACCCAGCCCCCTTTCCACAAGCCCCAGCGGACAGCCCCATAGACTCTTCTGTAGCAGTCCAGCTCACCTCCATAGCCGCCCACCGCCCAAATCTGAAACCACGAAGCGTTGGCCAAGCAGTGACGACCAAGCAGCGGAGGAAGAGGCGGATCCGGCTATTTAGGCCCCTCTCCGACTTCAAGGACGGTGGATCCGACAGATCCGAGCCGTTGTCCACCGACTTTGGAGGATCCGAGACCGGCAGCGAGAAGAAAGATGAAGAAGAGAAACGAAATTGATGACGGGCGGCGTCTGCTGATGGAGGCGGCAAGCTATGTTATCTTTGGCGGAGCTCCGGTGGATGTGTGGATCTGGAGAGGGAAGAAGACCCGTGATGCGTAGATCTGGGCGACTTGGTCTCTTCTCAAGCGATGGAGAAGACGAATCTCACGCCTTGTTGAAGAGTTGGGATGCGGATGGAGAAAACGGATCTCACGAGGAGAAGAACGGGACGCGGGTCAGTTTTTAGGGAAAAATCAAAGTGGTCATATTTTTTAAAATAGAAAATTAGGGAGTAATATTAGTGTCATAATATTATATACCAATCAAAAGTGTTTCGTAAAATATACGTGAATTATCTTGTGTAATTGTTTTTTAAATAATCGTGTCATTTTTTAATAGAAATCTAAAACCGGGACGGAGGTATTACTAAATTCGATATTTATATGTGAGGAATAAATGTAATATTAACCAAACATTGTAATTATGTTTAAGAAAACAAATTTATATTCAATATTTCCCAACCACAAATATTAAGTAGAAAAAATGAAATGTGGACACTATTAATCTCATCTCGTTGTTATACAGTACAAAAACAATATCAACTTATTTTGTGCAAGAAACTGTTTCATCTTATTAACAATTTTGTGAAATGAATCGACATGTCATAATATATACAGTGTGATAATACACAGTAATAATAACTTTAGATTGTAATTAACTTAAGTGTTAGTTTTGTTGGGAAAATGTGTTTAAAATTGCATTAAATGGTCATTTGGGGCAATTATTTGAGTGTGGTCCACTTCTGATTTTGGTCGGGTCAAAGTGGTTTCGGATTGTCCTTGTTAAGGGCTACAATTCGATATATATGGTACGCTCAAAACGGATAACGGGTGAATGAGAAATTGATTCTCGAGTTCACTCGTTGAAATGGAAAAACTGGGAAAATGATGAGTTTCTAGTGTGTTTTATACCACACCGGAAAACTCAAGGGATTTTCACCCCCTTATAAAGGGAAGCCTCTTTTAAGGAGTTAAGATTCCTAAAGGTAAAGGCTCTCTCTTGCGCGCAGGGTGGGTGCCGATCAAATCCCGATAACGGAGAAGCAAAACCGCAACTCGTGTGCGCAGGCGACCTGCAGACACGAATGCCGTCCGAAAAATCTATCATTCAAAGATACGATTTAATTTATGTTTCTTCCCGTAAACGTTTCTTTATTTTTTCCAGGCTGGCAGAATCCCTCCGTTTCTGTCCGGACCAGAAGAGGGTTTTATTCTCAACAGAACCGCTCCGCTTCAGTTCGGTTCAACAGAAACCCTCCAGGTATTCTGTCCGCAACAGAAGGGCTCAACAGAAACCCTCGAGGTCTTCTGGTCGCAACAGAGCGCTTGAGGTATTCTGGTCGCAACAGAAGGGCTCGAGGTCTTCTGGTCCGTTACAGCAATAAATGCCCAACGTTCTTCTCTTTTAATGTTGCGTTAAATGGACAGTTTATGGATGATTCAATGCCCAACGAACTAGTCATTGATGTCCAACGTTCAGGTCCATTAACACTACATTTAACACACAACAAATCCTCCTATAAATAGCCGGCAGGTGCTTTGCAACAAACACACGGTTTTACACGTTCACAAGCAACCATACACACGTTTTAGCTCTGAAAAACACCTGCGGCTCTCCAAAAAATTCCTAAGTGTTTCTCCTTTGTTCCCGTTCGCCAGAACTCTCGTTTGTGTGCTCAAACGTTAGTTTGTTAGCCACCGTATCCTGGGAAACGTTCGTTGCAACGCTCCTAGCACCGTGGGAGGCGACGAATACGCTTTAAGGACATCGTGCGTAGCACGAGCTCTGGCTAAACTCTGTCTCATCTCTTTTTCTGTTTTTCTTTGGCTATTTAATTAATAAATTATTTTTATTAATTAATATTGAAAGAATGGCCAATATAATACTTGCGGGTGTTTGGTAAACAAAAGAGACCATCCGTTTCTTTAGACAGAAAAGTGATAAAAATACAACTGAAAGACTAAATTACCCTTGCAATGAATATTGAAACCTTGCATCTGGCAGATCCTTTGCAATTGATTTCAAATCCTCCGCATGAGGAAGACGAGGCCTTGCCGACACAAGAAACCACCATCACCGCCCAGTATACGCCGCCTCCCTCCACTGTCGTACGATACCGTCATCCTCTTTCAAACGCCGCCACAGTTTTCGCGTCTGCCTCCCTTGTCCTATGGAGCCGCCAGCCATCTCCCACTCCGCCGCCCCAACAATCGTCGCCTCATATGGAACTGACGATTAGGGTTTCAGATCGATGGCTAGGATTCCGATTGAACGCAATGGTGCGATTGTGAGGTGAATGTTGGGTGGAGGCTAGGGTTTTGGGGTAGAGTCCCACGGTTGGGGAGGTTGAGATCTTGAGAGGGGTAGGCTATGGCTTGGAAGGGGTCTGCACCGCATGCGAAGGGGAACTGGCTAGGGAGATTGCTGGAGAGCGGGCTGGGGCCTGCTCGATTGCAGGTTGGGGGCTAGCGCCGTAGCGGGCGAGGAGTGGCGGCGGTAGCCCCCGGGAGCGGGTTGGCGGTGGTCGCCGTCGGGAAAGGGTGGTGCTGGGGAGGCAGGCTGTTACTAGGCAGGGGCAACTTGTTTCAATCCATTTAGCAACTCATCACTCAAATTACATCGTAATAAGTACTTTAGAGTATTTCAATCCATGATAATCTCCTCTCATTTTTCTATCATCTTATTTAATCTAATCCTCCGATCCTTGGACATGAAAAACCTTCTGGTAATTAATTTTTATTTTTTATTTTTAATGAGGTAGTTTTTCAATGCATTGATAGAAAATTGTTTGAATTTATTTCAAAATTTGGTGGGACCTCGGATAAAAATTGAATCGCAGAGCACACAAATCTTCAAACCTTCAAAATATATACATTTGTGATAAAAGCAAAGTAAAAGAGATCGATTTTTCAAATAGCTTTATGGTAACTGACGGCATAGATTTGTTGTTATGTGTGTCTGTTCTTTGAATTATATAAAATATATGCTGCCAAAATAAACCATAATAACTCGTGGTAATGACCTCGCAGGCACAAACCCCGACTTTGGAGGTCAAAACAAAGCCAACCAGCGCTGGCACCAGGCAGTCAGTCACCCTTGGGGCAGAACCAGAAACAAAGAATGAACTCTCTAGCAAAGGAGCCCGAGTCTCCAATCACTGACCTTGATGAGCTCAATGTCAGATCGAAGCATTGTGGACTTAGACAAATCCGCAAGGACCAGCATCACAAGGAGGCATTGCCACGTCATTCGCAGCAACGGATAAGATTCCGGAATGCACACGCATAACCACACGGGTATTCTGGTGGCATTCTGTTAGGATTTGCTCCAATCAGCCAGTTGTCCCGTGTGAAATAATGGAACAGGATGCTCTCTAAGGAGCTCTAGCAGATATGTGACACCGTCCCCAAGCATGTTTACTTTTAGTAAATGATGTAGTAAACCTTGAAAGATCATTTATGAATTTACGTAATTGTTAAATTTTATTATTTCTTTTACGTGAATAGTAAATTGCCTGTGGGGCCCACAGCGGGAACGGGGACCGCCCGATAATTCCCGAACCACATATTATATTCATCTTGGTCTAGATGACATCTAGATGGTGGTGGATATTTTATTTGGGCCATGGGAAGGACATGGAGTTGACCAGTTGGTCAAACGGGGCCCAATTACCGGTATTGGTAATTTAGCGGATAACAGCCTGAAGTGAGTTTCGGAGACTCCTAAATAAATGTTGGGGAATGTACATTTATTCCAACGGTCCATAATTCTTGGGAACGCGTGATATATTTTATCCGGCCCGATAAAATAAAATATGACTTAAATAGTCCGAAAAATACAACTTTCGGGGCCAATTATACACATCGGGGCATAATGGGATGACCTCCCACATAAGTGGGGGCCACCCCACGACCCTATGTGCTGCAAATGACAAGGAAGGCAGCTGGGGGGGGGGGGGCGCGTACCTAGTAGGTGAGAAGTCTCCAAGAGACAAAATCCCACACCCCAAGTCCTATCCTACATTATATGGGATGATTGAGAGGGCATCTTTCACCCACCCTTTCTCTTGCATAATTTCGAACCAACCAAGAGGAAGGAGCTCCAGGAAACTCTCTCAGCTAATCCATAGTGTGGAGGAAGCAACAACAAGGGAAATCCAAGGAAAAGGGGGTTGTTCTTGAGGTAAGAACTCAACAAACAATCTTTTAACTAGTTTATTGTGTATGATTTTTGAGAAATCATATGGTGGATTAAACCATGAGTTCTACACGTTTAAAAGTGTAGAATATTGATATAAAGTGGTGGTAATTAACTTAGGAGGGTTGGCAAATCGATAGGAGTCGAAATCGCTAGAAACCGCCACTTCAAAGGAGCTGTTCGTAGTTGCAGACTACGAAAGCCGCCCGGCTTCGTGAAAGCCGCCCGCCTTTTGCTCAGCAGTCCAGTTTTCCACTCTTTCAATCAGCCTAGAACGGGGATTGATCGAAGAGCTTAACAAAGGCAACTATTGTAGCACATCACGAGGTGAGGATGGCTGACTATATTGCTTATAATTAGTGAGTTAATTTCACAAGATTTCCCAAGGTATTAAAAGTGATATTCATGGGTTATTATTGAGTAATAATGCTTAAATGAAAACACTATTGATATGAGTAAAAGAAGCATGATATATAAATTTAGATTAAATTGTGTATGATTATGTGGCATGAAAGGAATGACATGAGAATGGAATTAACTATGTAACTATTGTGATAAAATATACTTTTACCTCATGTATGAAATTCATGAATGGATAAAAGTGATATTTTTGATATTGGGATCAAATTATATTTGGATTGGAAAATCAATTAGAAAGAAATGTCAATTTGGATTAAGAACTTGATATGTTCTAAGACTAACCTACTAGTATTAAAATACTAGTCGGGAGGATAATATAATGGAATTAATCCTAAGAGATAGGATTGTGAATAGATTTGCCTTAAGTAGTCTTAAGAGATACTTTAAGGTTGAATTGAATGAACACTAAGGTGTGTTAGGGGTAAGCCTAAAGGCTACCCAAGTGGGTTGATTCTAGGCATAGGATTTGCTTGAGAATTGGACTACGAAAATGAATTAGAGTCGGACTCTAGGATTGCATGGAAATGTAGTTGGGCCGAACCCTTGCCATGTAATGTGATTAGCATGGAAACGTAGTTGGGCCGAGCCCTTTCCATGTATTTGTGATCTTCGTGGAAACGTAGTTGGGCCGAGCCCTGGCCACGAAGTTGTGGTTAGTATGGAAACGTAGTTGGGCCAAGCCCTTGCCATACAATTTAAATGTGTTAAATTGAGTTGAAGGGGTGTATAGAAATGTAGTTGGGCCGAGCCTTTGCTATATAATCGGGACTCGAAGGGACCCTATGGGGTTGGCGTGACTAGTAGTCACGAGGAATTAAAATGGTGAATTCTAAATGAATATGTGCCCACGGGCCGATTACTTGACTTTATATAAAGTAAGTACATTTTGAAAAAGGGGGATAACCGAGGGTTATGGCCTATAGAATAACATCACCCTAGATTGAGGGTCCTTGAAATTGAAACATTGATTATACTTAGTATAGTTGTCATTGTACTTGTCAAATGCTTCCAAGTACTGACCTCCTCTTCACGGGGGAGGCCACCTCACAGTTTCAGGTAGGAGCTGAGCTTGCTACCATTGGTTGTGGCTTTCGGGGAGATTCTAGGAGAGAAGACGTGGTTCGTGCTTCCTCTGTTTCTGTTTTAAAACGATTATAACAATGCTCATGGATATATTTTCGAATAAGTATTTGGGGGCTTGTATGCCCATGTTTGCCAAAGTGTGGCATGAACTCTTATATCAAATGTTTCCGCTGCTTTAAATAAATGTTTTGCATTGTTTGTTTATGGATGTACTATGTGTGAATGGTATTCAAAACGCCTTGTATAGTATGGATGAGTTGGACTGCGGTTGACTATTCGTACTGTACGGCGGGTTGTTGACGTGTCCGGCTAGGTCCGGGGCGTGACAAGATATATTTATAGGGAAAGAGTTTAATGTAAAAATGCATAAATATCCCTAATCAAATAATTCTATTACACCCCCTCAAACTGTGCGGGAGAAACAAAGGGTAGGTTGTTCTTCAAAAAAATGAAAACGCTGACTAGGGAGGCTTTTCGTAAAAATATCTGCCAACTGTAAATGAGTAGGAACATTTTAACAATCAGATCTCCATGGGCAACACGTTCGCGAACAAAATGATAGTCAATCTATATGTGTTTACTACGTGCATGCTGAATAGGATTAGCAGTCAAGTAGGATGCAGAGACGTTGTCGCACAATAAGTGTACAGGTTCGGTTATAGGAAAACCAAGCTCAAATAAAATGGACCGAATGTGCAGTGTATCCTGAACAGTATAGGCAATAGCACGATACTCAACTTCCGTGGATGACTTGGACACTATAGGTTGCTTCTTGGACTTCCAAGAAATAAGATTGGGGCCCTGAAAGACAGCGAAGCCTGTGGTTGACCGTGAGGAATCAGGGCATCCAGCCCAATCTACATCGAAATAAGCAAGAACACATGTAGGTTTGGCCGAATGCTGCAACCACAATCCATGATCACGTGTGCCCTGCAACTACCTGAAAATTCTCTTGACTGCAAAAAGATGAGTAGTACGGGGGGCATGCATAAACTGAGACACTAAGTGTACTGCATAAGTAATATCAAGCCGTGTCAAAGTTAAATATTGTAACGCACCTACCATACTGCGATACTCAGTGGAATCTAACAGTAACTCACCATCAGACAAGGATAGCGTGGTGCGAGATGCTAGCGGTGTGCAAACAGGTTTAACCGTATGGAGATGAAAGCGATTGAGCAGATCAGAAATATATTTAGTTTGGGAAAGAAAGAAACATGCCTTTAATAGAACGATGGGACTCGATCCCCAAGAAATAGTTTAGATTACCCAGATCCTTCATGGCAAAATGATCAGAAATAATAGAAATAAATTGGGTAATAGTGGATTGAGAATTGCCAGTAATAATAATATCATCCACATATAGTAATAAATAAATGGTAGAATTATTATGGCGATAAAAAAATACCGAATTATCAGCCTTACTACAGCAAAACCCGCGTTGTAAAAAAAAGCTACTGAATCTATGAAACCATGCCCGTGGAGCTTGCTTAAGGCCATAAATGGCCTTACGCAGACGACAAATATGATTAGGAAATTGAGGATGTATAAAACCACGGGGTTGACGCATGTAGACTTCCTCAGTAAGATGGCCATGTAAGAATGTATTTTTGATATCGAGTTGGCGAATGACCCAGCCAAAGGAAACAGCAAGAGTAAGAACGATACGAACGGTAGTGGGTTTAATGACAGGACTAATGGTTTCAGAAAAATCAATTACAGTCTGTGGATTAAACCCCTGAGTGACCAAACGAGCTTTATGGCGCTCTACAGACCCATCAGAGTGATATTTGGTTTTATAAATCCACTTACAACCAACAATATTCTTAGTATTGTCAAAGGGCACCAGATCCCAAGTATTATTATTAATGAGAGCATTAAATTCATCAGCCATGACTTCCCTCCATTTTGTCTATTTATTAGCCTCAGTAAAAAAAGTAGGATCATCTGAGCTGACAATTATACTTAAATTAAAAATGGGTTTTGGTTTAAAAATTCCCGCCTTAGCACGCGTTTGCATGGGATGCATGTTCACTACCGGGGACGGGGAAGAACTTACTGCTGCGGACTGGTCAACCTCCGTAGGTATGCATGGTGAAGAGGTAGGGGTGCTAGGGTCCGACCCTAAGGAATAGGAAGATGGGGAGACTAGATGGTTATGGGATACTGGTAATGAAGAGGAGGACGGGGATACTGGAGGGTTATGGGAGACCGAGGAAGGAGAGGAGATGGGATTGGATGTTGATAGCGGAAGGGAACGAAGGCTGGAGATCGGTGACCTATGGGTGGATGGAGACCGTACGGGTGCAGGGAGATGGGAAGGCTGGCTAGACACGAAGGGTAGGGTTGTGGTTGGATCGGGTGCGTCGGTCGACCGAGAAGAAGGCAATAAACTAATACCGGATGGAGAAAGTGTTTTAAAGGGATAAGTATCTACATGGAACCTAACGTGACGACTTACATAGACGCGACCAGTGAGAGGGTCAAGACAACGGTAGCCCTTGTAACAAGATGCATAGCCGATAAAAACACACTGAACTGATCGTGGAGAAAGTTTATTAGCTGATGTGGCCGAAAAAATTGGGTAACATGCCGAGCCAAAAACACGCATAAAAGAATAGTCCGGTACCCCGATGAAATAATTTTTGAAACGGTGAGAGGCCATGCAAAATAGGAGAAGGTAATCTGTTAATAATATATGCAGCTGTA